CCCCTCTCCTCCGCGGTACAACGAGGCTCTTGCTCTCTTATACCGTCGTCGTCGCCACCGCCGCCATCTTGTAAATTAATTAATGCGTTCCTAACGAGATCAGAGGCGTCGGTAAAGCAGGAGGGTTGGCTGGTTCTCTACTTTGCCCGCCAAGGAAAGGGGGTGAGAAACTCAAGAGCGTAATTCGCGCCTCGCGCGCCCCACGCGTGATTCGGATACACTCTCCGAGATAGTCGCGGCAGCATCCCCCGTTTCCAGGAAGTCTAAGAACTAGACTTGATAATTAAATTCACTGGTGCGTCTGGTGGAAAACTTTGAATAAAACTTTAAATAAATATTATATCGCATATGGATAACTGACGCGAGCTTCTGAGCTTTTCACGGTTCTCCGCATATAAATGTGTTTGAAATTTTGTTTTACACTTCTCGACTAGTTGTGTACGTAGAATATAGTTTCTAGTTGCGCAATGCATTCCTACAGTGGGCAAACATTCCGCGATGCGAAATTTGCCGTGCCGCGACATCGGTCGCGAATCTCGGCGCTGACTTTTCGAAACACTCTCCCGCGACCCTCACAGCCCTGGATGAGAGCGAATTAGTCTGTTCCCGGGGGTAGACAGCAGAGACAGGGTGTCAGTGGAAGGGGATGTTGGTCGGGGGGTCGGTGTCAGGATCTCTCGACCCTTTCAAACCCTTTCATCGGCGCTTCACCCGCTTACATAATGCAGCCACTCTAATTAAAATAAATTACACTCTCGCGCGTCAGTTCGCTCTTTTATCTCTTTCTCTCTCCCTCCCTCTTTCTCTTCTGGCCTCGCACCCGTGCTCTCGCCCTTTCTCTGTGTTCTCGCCCCTCCCCCCTCTCGCAATTCCCTTCCTCCTTTCTCTCGGCTAGCTTTTTTTTCGCTCTCACCCTGTCGTTTTTTTGTACCGCACTTTCGACCACCACCCGGGTAACGCCCCTCTCTCCTGTCCTCTTTCTCTCTCTCTTTCTCTGCTTCTCTCTCCCTCTCCCCCCCTCTCTCTCCCTCTTGCTCGTTTATTTGCACTTTATTCGAGATTTAATTTACCGACCTCCGGCGACAGCCTCGTTGGTGCGCGCTCGACTCTGTGATGGGATTAAAAAGGCGGGTAGGGGATGATAGGATGGAAGAGGCCGAGAGCGGTGAGAGGGAGAGGCGAGAGGATGGCGTAAAAGTTGGAAAAAGAGTAACGCGACCGCGAGCTCCGCGACCAATGGAGAACGAACTGCCGGAAAATGGCTGAACCAAGGAAAAAGCGAGGAGGCGTACGGAGGGGCTGTCGGGGGAGGGGAACGAACAATCGATATCGCGGCGTCTCGATTCGTAGCCGATTTTCAACTCTCGGAACAGCCGAGCATGTACCTGCCACCACAACATCGCGATGGCGCGAGGGGCTTATACACACAGTAAATAACGGAATCGATTTCGATTAAACGTTTAAAATCGTTTCTGTTTTCGTGATATCAGGATCGCCGATGCGGTTGCGATGCCAGCCTCCGGGCTACGAGATACGGGGTGATTTTTTTCCCTCCCCGCCCGAACGATATTTGATTACAATTAACGTTCGGCAAATCGTATAAATCGACGTCATCGTTCTGAAATAAGTGACAAATAATGTCATATATATTGTTGCACATCCGCGTTGATTCGCGTATTTATAAAGGGATCATTGTAACAAGATCAACATTGAGCTACAAAGTGATGACAATATCCAACAAAAGGGAATTGCGGTCCTTAATAAATAAATAATAAAAAAAAAAAGAGTCGGAGAATCTGTCGCGAACAATACTCGTATTTCCAAATTGTCATGAAATATTCGCATTATTCTTGCGATTGTTTATTAAATATTTCATGTTGAAAATAGAGATATTCATTTATCTGCGGACATGAGCGAAAGCGAGAGAGAAAAAGAGGAAGAGAGATCGTGCTCGAAAAAGAACCGCGGACAATATATATCTGGCTTCACAGTCGCGGGTAATTTTCGCGAAAATGCGTTCACATTACAGCGGGATGAATCAACATTAACGGTCTCCACGAGTATCCTCCTCGTCACCATCGAGACCACCAGCTTCCGCGACAATTTACCGCGAGCTATCCGAAACGAGGCGTAAGCATCGCGCAATTCAATTAAGCCCACGCTCGCATGTCCGAGAGGGAGAGAAGGGGGCCAGGTAATAGCTGGAAACACCCCCCGCCTTTTTCATCCCCCCGTCAGTGCGAAGCAATAGCAATAAATAAATATTCCGCGGTCGTCCGATGCCCTCCCTTCCTCCCCATTCCCATACCTCTTCCACCTTTTTACGCCACAGGGGGCAGCCGCTTCACGGTGTTTTATGAATTCGTTATGAGTCAACGCCTCTCTCTCTCTCTCTCTTTCTCCTACTGAGAAGGGAGTTGTGGAGTAACTCGCACAGAGTAGCTCGGTCTTTCGCCGTCTTTTCCTCTTCTTCGACTTCGCGCAACGAGCGACGTCAACGTCGAGCTATAGGCATACCGTTGGCTTCTTTCCCGCATCCTCGAAAAGCTCCGAGGTGTTTCGCAACGCACAGAGGAAATATTTCCCGGGTCGTGAAAAATCCTGAAAGTGGAGAGGCGATGCGCGCGCGCGCGAGAGAGAGAGAGAGAAGCAGGATGCGAAAGGTAAAGCTCCCAGGAATGAAAGGAGAGGACTTTACTGGTGCGCGAATAATAACGACTCGCATTCTCTCCGGCTGTCGTCGATTTTCGATTTGAGACGCCAACTTTCTTTCCTCTCCATCCCTCGCCTCACCCTCTGTACATACGTATATATTCTCTTCCTCGAGTTTTTTTTTCCTCCTCTTTCCATCTCCAGCCTTCCGCGATGGTTTGCCCCTTTTCCGCAAGCACCGTTCTTCCTCGTCGATCCAATCACGAGATCGGATTGCACGGAGGAAGGGTGGGCGGGAAGTGCAAGAAGGAACATGAAAATGTAGTTGGGTAACGACCCGCCGAGCGGAATAGAAGTTTTATCGTGCAAGCCTGCCCTCCCGCGCTCTACGCCGCGGAGAGGACGTATAAATTCAAAGTGACACGAGAAAGCGGATCGATGGGAACGTAATTCTTCGCTCCTCGGGAACTCGGTAAGTACGGCGTCAATTTGTTCGATGGCTCGGAACTCCCTTCCGTTAAAAAGAAGGCGATAGACGCCTTCTTCGCGCCAAGATCGGACCCCTCGATCAATACGGTATACATGCAGCGAAAACTTCTTGACAAAATAAGGAAGGGTAGCGGATTTCGAAGTAGGCGTGATTGCAGCTTTTTAAAATTCATTGTCATTATTACTTTTAAGCAAAAAGAAAGGAATAAGCGTGGCTGAAAGCTCGATCGGCCAAGATGTTCTCAAAATGAAAGAAGACATAAAGAGATGAAGAAAAAAATATACATGTAGAACGATGAATAACAGGACTCGCCCTTCCAGCAATCAGTAATATTATACGACGCTAGGGTGAGTAACCCCATTAGCATTCATATTTCAATTTCACAGGCCTCAGGGTCGCAGTTTGAAACTGTGGAAGGTACTTGGTTGGAACGGCGAACATGAGGGGGGGGGAGGGAGATAAACGGAAGAGAATTCACAGGGAAGAGCCAGAGGGGTGGAAGCGATGCGGATGGGAGGCAGGGGTACGTAGAGGGCGAAAGAGGAGAGCTAATATCGATAGCAACCTATTACCATCTATCTCCATACCGATGTAATGGACGCGCAGCCCCGATTATCAATCCGTAATAATTGTGCATATTAAACGGGCACTAATTATCGGGCTGGCAGCGTGCCGCGGGCGCCATCGCCATCGAATCGAACGAGTTACAACTCGGCGATGCGCTTGCCTCTCTTTCTCTCTGTCCCTCTCTCTCTCTCTCTTCTCCTCTCTCTCTCTCTCTTTCTCTTTCTCTCTCTAGCAGTAAATTTCACCGAGACCGAAAGAGGATTAATAACCAAAAAATCATCGCTCGTTCGGGCGCGAAAATATTCGCGAAATCAAATATCAAACTGTGTTTTTCTCGATTCGCCAAGTGGTTCGCGAATTTTTCAACGAGTGTGAAACCTTAATCGCCCATTCGTTTCGCCGCATCGCATCGGTTAATGCGGGAACGCTGTTACGACGCGCGGGACCGTTTAATCGACGCCCGAGCTAACTGCGCACATCGATATTCATCCCCGAATGAAAAAAAGAGGAAGGGGAGAGAGAGAGAGAGAGAAGGAAAAAAAGGGAAGGGGGCGGATGGGAGTTCCGACCGCGGCTGATCGATTCTCCTTTCTCGCGCGAGCCTTTTGTCGAGCGATCGATCGGATCGGTAGGACCGATCTCGCAGGACACTCGAGAGACCTGAGAGGCGGAGAGCGCGAACGCGGCGCGGCGGTACCCTCGAGCGCTCTCGAGGCTTTTTTCCTCTCCGGAGCGCTTTTAATAAACGCGCGCGCCGCAACCAGCGGACGCTTTATGTTATCGAAGAAGAAGAGAAACGCGGAGGAATAGAGAGGCGGAGAGCGAAAGAGGGAGAGAGAAAGAGAGAGAGAGAGAGAGCGAGTACCGAGTGGTCGATGAAAGCGGAAGGGAGTGCTTTTGACGACGAGCTTTTTACGGCCCTGTGTTCCGGTGTTCAGGCTTTTACGTCCATTCCGCGCTTCCTCCTCCTTCGTCACCATCTCCGCCTCCTCCCCCGACCGCTACGCGCGCAGCCTGCGCTTCGCTCGCTCTATTTCTCTCTCTCCCTTTCTTTCTTTTTCTCCACGCTATCGCGTATCGCGCTAATTCCCTCTTTCGCTCTCGTATTCCTCCACTACCGTCCCTCCACCCCCGCCGCTATCATCCAATAATACATCGCGCGTAAGCGGCCATCTAATCCCCCTTTTATGAGGTGAAATTTTACGCGCCCGACGGTGCCAGCGATGTGGCAGTCTTCCCCATTCGCCGACGAATAATGAGAAATTATTAGGTATTTGATGATGATACTCACATGCCTCTCCTCGGCTGGATTGAGACCTGTAACAGAGAATAAAAGTTCCGTGTGTATTACGTGATATTATTAAGATGTAACAGCGACTTTTCTCGCCGAGATAATCCGTGAAATCACTCTCGACAGAGATCTATCCACCGGCAGAACGAGAGAACGCCATGTTTTTTATTATTATTACAGCGTCGAAGGGAATAGAGTCGGTGGTATGTCGACGGAATCTTTTCCGCGGAAAGAAGCAGATAAAAGGGGAAAGAAGGAGGAGCGCGCGCGAGACTAGCTAGACTTCTCAAGGATTTCCGAGACGGCACGGGGGGGGGGGGGGAGATGCGGGAGAGATCGGGAAAAAGAAAAGCCGGCTGGAACAGGGAGCGGAGAAAATCCAGACGGAAAAGCTTTGTCCTCGAGAAGCCGAGTTCATAGTTTGCCCTCGCTCGATTTCCCCAGCCTCCTCCTCCTTCTCTACCATCTCCCCGCGCACCCCGCGCCAGTTGGTACACTTTGGTCTCGTAGGAAATATCTTAACGATATCTTTTTCCTACCCGTTACCCGTCCTACTGCGAAGTAAGAATTACACGAGCCGTTTATGTTCTTGGTGCACCGGGACCACCATAAATTGCCTCTCTTTTCTCTCTCGCGACATTAACCACCGCGGAAATAAAATATTTTTATTGACGCGACGCCCGCGAGAGACGCAGAGCTTCGATATACCGCGGGCGATATTGAGACGACGTTCTTTTTTCTTCCCTCCGGTAATAAGTTGCAACGATAAAGCGCGTATTTTCGTCGCTCAATGAAACCTTAATTCCTAAGGTCCCATTTGGAGCTTCCGCGTTTGAATGTTCTCGAGTATCATCAACCGCGTCTACATCTCGAGGCGAACGAGTGATTTTATTATTATGTACTCTCTCTCCCTCTGTATATAGTCCGTTAAAATAACGGGAATGATAGCCGGGGAAAGCCTTGTTGGGCCGGGAGAACTTTCTCGTATTTTTCCGAGCTACCACCCGGTACTGGTGGTAGCCGACGTAAAATGTGGAGAGGAGGAGGCCGAGGAGGTCGGGTCGTTTCCAGGGGTTAAAATCCTGGATACACGTTCACGTCGTTATCGAGCAGACGCGTGCAAAGCGGAGCAGTTTCGGAAGATAGAAGGAGCGAGAGCGGTATCCTACCTTCCTCCACGCGCCACGGGGGTATAGAGCTCCGCTAATGCCCGTCATCCCCCTTTTATCCTTCCTCCTATCCGGCCAGGAAACTCTTTTCTCCTCCCTCACTCGACTACTAACACGCTCGCGTTCGCGCGCGCACGCTCGTAAACGGACGCGGAAGAGCGCGCATAATTTTCTACTAAAGCGCGAAGAGGTCGTCGAGTGTTTCCGAGAGACGTTTTAAGGACCCGCGTGCTCGCATCTCCACTCACCCATCTTGGGACGAGGAGCTCGCTGAAAGTACCGGAGGACAAGCTCGCCCATTACTCGGAAAATTATCAGATAAAAGAGTGGCTCGTTATCGAGTATTCGAGTTATTCAGCGAAAATCCGCTTCGTATTAAAATCATCCCACTTCTCCGCTCAAGGAGCGATGCGGAGATAAGCTTGGGAGTAAATCGAGCGAGGATCAATGCGCTATTATCAACGCCAACACTGACCGACATCGGTTTCTAATCGAGCATAAAGACTATGGCTGGCTCGTTGCGGAACGAGTAAAAAGGAATAGCGCGGCGGTCACACACAGAGTCAGCCGGTGGCAGATATTGCGGCGGATATGTCCGAGGATACAGTCGTTTTTGGGGAGAGAGGGGGAGGGAAAAAGGGACCGGGAAAAACCGCCGGAGGGGAAGAACAAAACGAGAAACGGGGCTGCCGCGTGCGCGCTGGTAGAAACAATTCGCTCCGGGCAATGTTCCGGAAAGAAGGGAAGAAGTTTCAGTTGTCACGACAGAAATACTGGGCCGTTACACGTCTCTCGGTCTCGGCGGCGGAATCTCTTTTCAAAAGAGTGTCTGCGATCGTTGACAATGCAGACTGCAGTAGATCTGTTCTTTTCGACTGCGCTTTTTCACGCCCTCTTTGCTCCGAGCGAAGCGAGCGCGTGTGTTCACGCTTCGGCAAGAAAGAGGAAAGAGGACGAAGAGTTCACGTTGTAAGGACACAGTTATAAGAAAAAAAATACATGCGAAATAAATAGTATGTGATACATCACGTCGCTGGACATTCGCGCGTCGGCAAATAGGTATATATAGGAACAAATCGGCAATTTCGCAGTAACAACGAAATTTCTAAGATAACCGGCGGCATTTCCGTGAAAGTGATTGCGCCAAGATCGACGGATATCCCATTACGACGGCCCCGACGTTGGTCTCGGAAAACGCAAAACAACGCGTAGAGCAAATCGGCCGGAGGCTATACGAGTAACATAGTTAGTTGAGTGCGAGTCGAGGGAAAGGATAGGCAGGGTCAGAGTGGAGGCCATCAGGGAATAGAGACAGCGAGTAAGGGCGTCGGGCGTGGTAAGGGGGGGAGCGGACGGAGAAAGGGGAAGGGTTGTGGAAGTACACTCGTGTCGAGAGGAGATTCTGAGTGCTCTCTCGAGAGATGGCTGTGGCTAGAACGAGACACGCTGAGCGAGAGACATTGGAGGAAAGCGCTAGGAAGCGCGCGAGAATAAGGGCGAGTGAGGAGAGAAACGAAAGGCGGGCGAGGAGAGAAGTTTGAAGGAGTGCCGGGCGCGTCTTCGTCAGCGGTACGTGAGGCCCCCGAGAGCGCGAACCAAGATCTTGCAGTCGCATGACGTGCCAACGAGAAAGACAGATGTAAGAGAAGAGGAAACGTGAAAGAGAGAGAGAAAGAGAGAGAGGACTAAGACCCGAGAGGATTCTCGAGGTCAAGATCGAGAGTTTCAGGAGCTTCTCTCGGGTTTAAGCACGGTCGTTTGCATCATCGGCTCGTTCCAAACCGCACTTAAAATAGCGCGAAAAGATTCCGCTTAATTTCAGCGACTTTGGAGCGATCTTTACCATACACTCTCTCAAAGAGCGATCTCTCTCTCTCTCTCTCTCTCTCTCTCACTTCTTAAAACGCTCTCACGAGCGATTTTCATCCATTACACCAACGGGCTCTCGACGGATTAATCGTGTTTACGTTCATCGTCGCTGCGTATATCGCTGAATCATCGATGAGATTATACGAGCCACGGCGAGCGCGGCAAAACAACGTATCGTCTCATGAGGATCGGTTTACCGGCCTGTTCTCGCAGAAGCGAAGATAAGCGATTGAACAGCAGGTAGCCGAGTTACGCGAAACACGATGCACGAAGTTGGATGCGCAACCGTTCTGCGAACGAGACGGTTTAAATGGATCGTTTGGCGCGCGAAATATCCATGCGAGCGAGTCGCTGAGTGCGCGTGACAGTCGAGGCATTGAAACCGACTGGGCACGGACTCCTCTTCCACGAATCGAATCTTTTCTATCAACGCGTCTGACCCTACACGCTCGTCAAGAGAGACGCGAATTTACACGTTTCGAGCGACTGACGAAAGAAAAAAATTTGTCTAAAGATCAGACGCTTTTTCTCATAATTTTAGAACAAAATTTAACAGATTTCTGATTATACCTAAATTCTCTCTCTCTTAAAAAACATTATTTTATTAAATATATATTACGAAATTTTTTAATAAAAATCTTGGATACTCTGAATGTGTTTGAAAAAAATTTAAAGACCTAAAAATATAAAAAGAGAAGTTCGTATGACTTACCTCCGTTAGGTTTGAGATCGTCAGGTTGACCGCGATGCAGTTCCGATTTCGTCAGCATTGACAGCGGATGTGCGGCTGTGCCACCGGGGGTGGCGGCCGCTCCTGGGGGGAGACCCAAACCGAGAAGCGCCGCGGACGCCGAGGTGGGGACTGGTATACCCGCGCCTGGGCCCAACCCAGGAAGCCCGGGTATACCCGGATGCGGTCCCATCGCTGCCCCCGGTGGCAGTTGCTGGGCGTGCATCTGCTGCAAGAGTCTCGGCAGATCGGGCCTCTGTTGCTACAACAAAGAGCAAAAATTTCGCGTGTCAATAACACCGCTTACGCAACTCATCGGCTTCACCTGATCGTTATTATCTCGCGATCAGGATACATCGCCGGCCGCTATCGGCGCGTACGTCGATAGATACGCGCGAAGCATCGCACAGGGCGCGGGGAAGATTACGGATGTTTGCGTGTACGTACATATAGATACGCGCGAATAATATATCGCACGGATCTCGATAAGTTCCGTAGATTAGATTAAATAAGTGGCGAGGCAATTAACGGGCTCGAGAGCGCGTAACAGTGCCTCTCAAGTATTTCCGCTGTAATTACCAGATAAAAGCGAGCGGGTATTATTCCGCGAAGGACGTGAAAAAAACGCGATGTACGGGAATCGAGGCGATCATCGCTAAGAGCGCGGCAGATTGGAATTGAACGGGACGGGTGGGATGGGGGAAAACTTTAATAGCGCGTCGATATTATCGTTGGTGGCTATACGAGAGAGAGACGAGAGAGAGAGAGAGAGAGAGAGAGAGAGAGAGAGAGAGAGAGACAGCCAAGCTCAATAGAAGTTCGGAAATGATTTTTACGGGCTATCGGTTTAGCACGGCGGTGTGGTGTGTACGTTGCCGCAGCTTCGTTAGGAGAGTCTGTTTGCCGAACGTGAACTCACGTTTCCAGCGCGGACAAATGCATAAGCAAATAAAATCGCGCTCGCGAGCGAGCGAGCGCGCGTGGATTTAAAAGCGCGGCACATGGTGCGCCTCTCTCTCTCTCTCTCTCTCTCTCTCTCTTTTCTCTTTCCCTCTCACCCGTCATAATTGATCAAACAATTTCGTTTCTGCGAGAGGAGACAGGGAAACAGCGAGGGGGCGAACAAAAAGCAACGCAACGATAATTCGCTGGAAAAATCGCTCCGCTTAATTCCAGTCACGATCGCGCGTTCTCTCCCCCGGCTCTCTCTTTCTCTCTCTCTGCCTGCGAATTTCTCTCTTCTCGCCACTGCCAGCCACTGCCAGCCGCTGCCGCCGTTACGCGAAAATACACTTCGTTACAGTCAACGGAGGCAACTTTCCATTAGCAAAGCATACAAATTGCCGAGTAAACTCCGGCAAGTTTGAGTAACCCCCGCGTTCGACCTCGCCCGGGTAAATCAAAGACTGCGAAACAAGTGGAAAGACTTACGCGTTCTACCATATCGAGCGAGCGAGTGAGCGAACGAATGAACGCCGGCGAAAAGTTTCGCGGAAATCTTAAGCGTATCTCGCCCGTAGTTTCCTCGTTAGTTGGACCAAGCCGCCAGACAAATTGTGGATCTGTTCAACGCCGTTTTAACGGTTCGCAGATCATGGTGCGGAGGCGAGACTGGCGGAGAGTAGGTAATCACGAGAGAGAGAGAGAGAGAGAGAGAGAGAGAGAGAGAGAGAAAGGTAGGAGGAGGAAGGATAGTGCGCAGACGGCGAGTGTGAGAGGAGGGTATGGTACACCCACACCCGCCTGTAACCATGTACACTCGTTAAGGCAGGCCAGGGCGAATATATATTCCGGGGAGTAGTTTGCCGAGATAATTAAATGGCTTAACGATATAATAACCTCGCGTCGAGCGTCGACTGTCTGAACAGAGCCACCCACAAAACATACAAACAGAGGAAACGTGTGCAAGCGTGCCGGTGCCGCACCACGCCGCGTCTGTGTGAAGGAATGGAGATTGAGAGAGAGAGAGAGAGAGAGAGAGAGAGAGAGAGAGGAAATGAGACAAGAACGGAAGAAGTAAGAGAGAGAAAGAGGAGAGGAAGAAACGAAGAAAGATGAGAGACGGAAAACGGCTTTACGGTCCACGAAGCCAGTATTTCTGCGAAACGTCTCCGGTGAATCGAGGAAGTCGGAAGCCCCTAGGAAACGTTTCCGAGTTTCCACTCTTGATAGCGATAATAATCCTGACCCGGAGCCTGCTATCCTCACGGATCCCGACTTCTATGCGGAGTGTTACCCTCTTACCAATGCCAGGAAACCACTCTCATCCTCGTGCCGAGATTCCCCGTAATACCGCAGCATCGGGCCAGGAACGGCTTTGACGTCGCGGCGCCAACGAAATTATATACGAAGGGCGTCCAAAGGTGTGAATTCCGATTTTCAATTCCTTGCTAACGAGCAAGGAAATATGGGTGAAAAGATACACTGAATGCACGAAGAAAGTTTCACGAAATTTAAAAAGGTTGCATAAAATATTTTGACATATTTCTTTCTTGTTTTTCAAACTTGATTAAACGCGATATTTTTTTTTATTTCACGAGAATCTTCCTCGATTTGAATCGCGTTTTAATCTCCGTCTTTATTTCCGGATACAAAGTTACTGCGTCTTAATCTTCGTGCGAAACACATCTCGCGGCACCTGCATCCGTTGCCAAGTGCTCGTCCTCAGCAGTTTTCGTTGCCGTCGCCGTCGCCGCTTGCTGACTCGACTAGACGCGAAGCTACGGCCAAGAGATCTAAAGGGGATCGTCTTAACCTTCTTATATTGCGTATCGTTGACACACTCCGTAAGCGTCTTTGGCCGATCAAGTAAGCAGTCGCCACAAGGAGGATCGCGATCGATGCAGGTGCGAGGGGTGTCTACCGCGAAGACGCGTAAGCCAATATCATTCGCAGCGTCGAAGCTTTACAACTGCGATATCCCGTTCGTCGTCATGTACATTCGTAAGAAGGTTTACAACGGTTTCGAATAGCTATTACACAAGAGAGAGAGAGAGAGAGAGAGAGAGAGAGAGAGAGAGAGAGAGAAAAGGAAGAAAGGAAGGAAGGAAGAGCGGAGGAGAATCTTCCAAGAAAAGCTAATCTACCGCGATATCTATATCGCGTTGCGAAATAATCCACGAAACGATTACGTTTCTCGGGCTTATCTATCCGCGGCGAAATCGACCGGCGAATCTATCCCGCGGCTTGTTCGATTCGATCCATCCGGCATAGCACGGGTGGGATTTAAGAGAAGAGAGTAAACTAAGACGGGCGGCATTCCGGAATCCTGCTAAGGATTTGCCGCACGTACCCCGACAACGTCGCAGATCCGTGGAAGTTTCTCCGTGGGCTCCGTGCGGATAGGAAGGCACGGAGACGGAGGGGTGGCTGGAATGCTGATTAGTCGGCGCTCGTGAACCGTAACACTATAACCTACCTACCCTCCCCCCCCTTCCCCCGACGACGGCTTGGGTAACCGGGCGGGAAGACTCCGGATAAGATTCGGTGAGCGAGAGCGAGAAAGCGGCGCGGCCTGTATAGGTGGTGAGAGCGGATGCGGCGAGGGATAAGGGTGCGAGGGAATCGAGAAGAGAGGAGGCGGAGGCGGGGGGGACGACGGAGCGACGACGGGGTCGGAACGGAGCAACGGAGGAAGAGAACGAAATGGGGGTTGGAGAAGCCGGTGGCTTAATAGGGAGGAAATTGAGTGCTCGAGCAATATTGAGGAGGATTCGGGATTCGCCAGGATCGTATCCGTCCCGTCCGCTTTTGGATTCCTCGGACGTGCATCGGCTTCCAGCCGTGGCGTGCCCGCAGGGGTTCTCCACCCACCGCGAATGCTTTTCACGCTGGGGCGCACGTGAATCGGTTCCCCGTGTATTCGGTCGGGTCGCGCGATTCGACGACTCGATACTCCACCGGCGACATCGGCGTCGGCGCCGGCGACGGCGGAAGATCCATCTTTGCAACAAGCTATACACATTGGCGGTGCACTCACCCCGATAATAGTGTTCAGCTCGGTCATGGTCACTTGTTTGGCCCTGTCGAGCGCCGAGGCGACTTGCTGCTGATGATCCTGAGAGAGAAATGGCAAGATCTGTACGACAATGGCGTTCAGCCTCTTCGCAATTTCCGTCTGGAAAGAAAAGTTACAATGGCATTCATTAAAAAACATCTTTGCGCAATTGTTAGATTATCATATATATTCGCGAGCGTAGTAGGGACGCAACACATGAATACACACACAAAGAAGCGAAGAACAAGATTATTCATAAAACTGCGAGAAAACTTTTTACAATTAATTACTCAAATCAGCATGTAAAACGAAACAAGCATGAGTAATTAGAGACGACGAATGATGCAAGGTTTTAATTTTTCTAATCTCTTCTCTATTAGTCGGAAATTTCAGCAACCTCGACATTACCAATTTGACAATCAATTAAATAATTATGTTTGCCGCTCAGATAAAGGGATTTTACGAGCAAGTGCGATTAAACGATATAAATGATTTTCATTTCCTTTGTTTCGTGTATTTATATAAAATTCATTGCCACCCTTTGAATTGTTAATACAAGGGAAAACCACAAAGGTTGTTAGATGCGCGGAATAAACAGCGAGGATTGCAGTGATTAACAAATTATTATGCAAAAATTCGATATTATGAAACAATATTCAGTTCACGACTTTTCTTCGTTCATTTTCGTATTATATATTATTTTTTCCTTGCTCAATTAGAAAGCTATTAAGAGAAAGTATAAAGGAAAAATAAGGGACGATAAAAAAGAATATTTCGTTAAGCAATGCTTTCCCCTCGACGAGCCACGTATTACGGCAGGAGGGGTGTTGGATCTGACACTATGCCACCGTGGGTCTGCTGCGCCCGGGGCCCTCAGGCGGCTTGTTCCGGATCGTTAAGAAAGGTAAGGGCTAGCTTAACGCGCCCTCGCGAAGGAAACGAGTGAAGATGCAGGTGCGGCATAACCGACCGAGGGTGTTTACGACCGCCCTCCGGCTGGAAGAGACTGCCGGGAATTAAATTAAATCCAGGCAAGATTGCCACAGTGGCGGAGGCATTCGCGCGCGCGCGCGCGCGCACACACCGTTATTTCGCTCTCTCTAGTCCGATTTACCTCAACGTTATACTCGACATTGGGGATACGTTACATTTTATTTCGCTTCGAGACATTTTTTTCTACTAGATTTGTCTCGCCGCGTTCCTTATACATCCAATTTTTAATATATAATTTATCTCGATGTGTGAGACTTCCTCTCTTGACTCGTTCCTGATATACATTCTTTTCAATCTACTAATTTTTCTAAACACAGGGTAGCGAACTAGCCCATTATTAGATAATCGCGTACAAATCTACGCGCCAGGCCGGATAACTCGGCACAATTATTCACACGGCGCAACATCACACAGCGCGAAACTCCATTTAATTATCGCGGAATCAACAGGCAGCGCACGGAACGGAGCGCGGACCATTTTCGATGCTTTCGTCGAGAAAATGAAATCACTTAATTACCTCAACAAAAGCGACGGCACCGCCGCTCGTTTCCCCGCCGACGCGTAGAATTCGCACGCTCGGAGAGACGCGGAAGCGGAAGCCGCCGATTCGTCGTAAAACAGGAAGCAAACCGCTGGTTTCTACGTGCCTCTCTCGTTCCCTCCCTCCTCCCTCCCCCCCTCTGCCGCCGCATCCCCGGTTAACTCCCCGTGAACGCCCCGAAAATATAAGCTCCGCGAGCTCGGCGGTTGATATAAACGCGAGCTTCCGTCAACGCGTTTTCGCTGCTGCTTAAACGAGTCTCGGATGCTAATTGAAATATCGCCAGGCCACTGAAATTCTTGGCAAGTTTCCCTCGAGTACATCTTGGCATCTCGGCAAACGAGCGAAAAAGAAGGGAGAGGGAAGGAAAAGGAGGAGGAAAAGGAGAGGAAGAGAGAGGCGATTATGTATGTATGTATGTGTACACATGTGTACGTGGAACGAAGATGAAAGAGTGAACGCAAAGAGGAGGACCTGTTTTAATTACTCGTCGCCCTCCGGAGTGCTGGTTATTAAGCCGCTAATTATAATGTACGCGAAAATGAGTCGAGCTATATCCGCGAGACATCGTGTATATGAGAGCAAGAAGGTTTATACGCAGTGTGCAAAAGGCGCGCGATATGTGGCATACAGAACGTGCAATTTTATGGAACATCGGAATTTTAAAACTACGTTTTGTGCATGTGTACGTACATTGTAGGTGCATCCGAAAGAGAATATGAATAAGCAAAAATTCCGTAAAAGTAATATTCCATATGTATATGTAGAATCACGTATATAGATTAATTAATTAGGTTCTCTGTAAATTTACGATTTTTCATAAAAATTTTAATTATTTTCCGTCTTGTCGTCACTTAAAAGAAATAATTGATGACAAAGTGATTAAACGTGTTTAATAATTGACATCTGAACATGACACGGCTCATTGTCACAATGAAACTCGAACTTGTATTGTTCGCAAGGATAACACGCGAAGTATGTTTCGTAACGTGCGGTAAAGTCCCATCTACTTTGGCGTACTGCACGGCAGTTTGCGGCGGTACTAGAACCAGAAGATTTCAGGCGAGTGGTAGAACAGGAGGAGAGAGAGAGAGAGAGGACATTGTGGGCGAGAAATGGTAGCGGCTCCAGGGAGGGAGGGACGACGACGGGGGTGGAGTCGTCGCAAACGTAATTGCGTTGCCAAGAAGTTTTCCCCGGGTGAGAGGTAACCAAGAAAATAATGAATGGCTCGGATGCTCCGCTACTGCTCTCGCGCTCCAGGAGAGAAAGAGAGTAAGAGAAATGTGAGAGAGAGAGAAAGAGAAAGAGAGAAACGGAGCAGAAGTAGAGAAACGAGAAACCGAGTTTTGGCCGCGGTGTTCTCGTTGGCCTGGATTTCACACGGGGGAGAGATGAAAATCTCGCCCTGAGAATGAATTTTTCTCTCTCGTGCCAAATTGGACCGACGAAGATTGCTCTACTCCGAGCGGGGTCTTTCACAGCACGAATGGCTTTTTCCTTAAAATAGCACTTGCGGCGGACGCTTGTTATCCGCTATCGAAATACCGAGGGCGGCGCGAGATTTCGCGAGGCGAGGTACTACTGAAAAACTAACACGGTTACACCGGGAATAACCCCGCGCCGCACGACAGTCTGGTGCAATTCTCGAAAATCTTCGATATACACCTCTCCTTTTCTTTTTCATATATCCGCGTTCTCTATGACATTACGAGGAGTCGCGACGTGCGCTGAAACGGAAGACGCAGATGCTCCGGCTCAGTAATATCGCGAAAACCGCAAGAAGCTCTCGCAAAGTGCCATCCCTCTCTTCCCTCTGTACACACATGCGCTCCACACACAAACACACACACACGTAACATCCGCCGTTGTGTCGCGCGCTCGCACATACCCGGACACGTGGTTACAAACACACACCTGTGTGTATGTGTGTGTGCGCGCGTGTGTGTGTGTATGTCTCTCTCAAAAGGAATCAGGCACTCTCCCCGAGACGCTCTCCCATACATATAAACAACACTATAGCGCACGTCTAAAAGCAGGCAGCAACATTCACGGCATGAAAATGCAAAGCGCCCGAGTGCCGTCGATAAAATTCCTCGCCTGTAAAACGGTGACGTGAACCGAATGCTCTTTCACCACCCCGGCCCAGCCCCGGCCCGGCCCGGCCCGATACTGCCGATAATCCGATACTCGAAGCTGCCTCGAGAGGAGGTGGGCCTCCGTAAATCCGACTGCGTTCTATACTATGCACCGAATGTCGAAGCACGATCTCTTATCTCTTATCGCGCGCGGCGCGCATCTCTATCCTACGACGAAACTTTATCCTCCGCGCTACGCTGGAAAATGTTTAATCGAAGAGTCAGCATCCAGTATTATAAGAGAGAGAAAGAGAAAGATAAATAGAGAGAGAAAGAGGGAGAGAGAGAGAGAGAGAGATACAGAGTTTGTGGCAACAAAGCCATGCTCGCCGCCAACCTCTGCCGACTAACCGGAAGCCGTTACTTGCGCTAACGAGTAAACCAACGGCTGCTCGTCGGACTTTGGTGGTATTATGCTGCGCGAGCAAATAAACTGGCGTGTTCGGCTAACTCCCTGGTTTCTGGTAAGCCCCTGCACACCGGCGGCGGTTCTCGCTCGCTCGGCCCGTAAAGCCCGGCTAACGTCCGCGTGATTGCAATACCCCGCGGCTTGCGGAGAATACCGGATGTGGCCGTGTGTACGCGCGCGCATCTGTGTACACACGCCGGACCGCCGGTGTGTGCGCACCCGAGCGCGCGGGTGGGTGGATTAGAGGTATAGAGAAAGAGGAGTGTGGAGTGGGATACGGGATAAAATGTCCGTTAAAGTATACGAAAGAGCCGAAAACTCATTGTCCGCTGTTGTTTCGAATCGTTGCCGTCCTGTTACACTGAAAGTTAGATTAAATCAATTTTCCGTCTCGCGTAGCGTCGCGCCGCGGCCGCGTCCAATCGCGAGTCGCGTCAGCTAGTTTTCATCGCGTCACGAAACCAGACAACGCGTATCCAACAGCAGCAGCAGCAGCAGTAGCAGCATCTCCTTCCGCCGTGTTCGTCGCTCGACGACGTGAAAAGAATCGATAATGCACCCTGTCTTTTGTTCCGTCTATCGCGCGCGTCCGTATTGTCGACGGCGGTGCACGAAGCTAACTGACAAATAGGTCAAACGCTGTAACAGCGGAGATTTGATGCGGCGCAAAACGAGAGAGGCCTCCTGCCTCGTCGTTTATCCGTTAATACCGCCGTATACCGATCGCGCGATATCCCCCGTGCCGAGCGCGCTCGTCAAAAATATCCGGCGTTCCGAATCGCGAAGTCGATTAGAACGCGCGCGGACTGCAAGGTGAAAACGGAAAAAGGGTAGGGAAAAAAAAATACGCTCGCAACATCGTTCCAGCGGCGATTTCCCAGCGTGTCACGCGTGACGAACACGCGCGCGCGGTATTTATCCGGGAGTCGCGTGAGCAACGCGCGCGAGCGAGCGAGCACGGAGCGAACGCGTTGCGAAACGGTCGCAGAGTAGCAACGCCTGAAATTGCTTGTATAAATATTGGAGCTCGCCATTTTCA